AATGACTTTCTATACATCAAGTGCTATTCTAAGCAGTTTATTAACACAGTCTTTAAACCCTACCAAGTAGGCACTATTAATATCTCCTTTTCTCCAGTAAATAGTCCTGAGTACAAAGAGGTTAAATAAATTTGCCCAGTTCAGGGAGGTCACCCTGCTCTGAACCATAGTGGGACCCTGGCTTGAGATTTGAGGGTCTTCTGCACTGAGTGACAGTGCATCTCAGGAAGATAAGAGCCTGGATATTTAGGGAAAATAAATGGAATGAATCTCGTATTATGTCCCAAACAGAATCATTCTTTAGACATAATTGTGCATTATTGTTAATAGCGGTATCCATAAGAAATCTACACTCATATTGTCTCCTTTTCTTCTTACTGAAAGCTTTGATTATCTCTTTCTTGGTAATCTCATGCTGCCTTTATGAATCAGTCTATTCAGGGTATCTCTTTGGATAAAATAGTATTTGGGCGCCACCACCTTGTCAGGTATCCCCAGGCCATGCTTTCGTCTCATCTTGGAATCCCTTACTATTGGAAGCAGTACAGCAGACTCAATGTTCGTTGGTTCTCTTTTCCCCCCAGGGCTTGTGTTTGGGAATACCTCAAATTGAATGGATTAGCTCACTGCCACCAGAACATCAGTGCTATGTGAGTTTGTTGTGACATAAACTGGTACCTGGGGAGAAAAGTGTGTATTTTGAGTAGTTACTCAGAATACAGACACAGACTGTAAATAGTTATTATGTAACTGTTACTTTTCTTATTGTCAAAATGTGGAGAAATGAATAGTACATGGAATTTAGAGAGAAAACAATGGCTGCAGAACGCCTGATTTAGGTCGCCAAAAAAAACCGTCGGCTCTGCTGCTTCGCCTCTGATAGATTAGCCCCAGGACAATCTTATTTCCTTCTTGGTTTAGCTTCGCGGAGGTATTGAACATCAATGCCTTTTCCATGTGCCTGTTAATGATACTGTTACAGTTTCATAAAGCACAAATACTTACCATACCTCAGGCCAAATGTTAGCCAAAAAGAGCAGAGAGAAACGTCCAGCCCTGACAGGTATTCAAGCCTTAAGTGTGATATAGGGAAGCAGAAAATTGCAAAACAAGCTTGCTCACACCAAGATGGCTTAAAGCCCCAGTGATAGGGCTAGAGGGCCCCACAGTCTATGCGGCCTCAGTGAATCTTAGTGGTGTCCCTGTTAGCCCAAATGACAGAGAGTATTTTGTTGCTTTGATAAAAATGGGTTCGGAGAATTGAGTGAATTTATAGGACAGGAGTTCAGATGTGCTGACCTTTTACTCCGGAGAGTTTTTTGACTTACCTCTCCTCTTTGTTTTGTACTGGGGAGGAGAGGAACAAACTCAAGATAATGGAATCTGCAGCAAAAACGAGGCGAAGGAGTTTTACCTGGGGAAACCAGGAAGGATTTAAAATGAATTGATGGCCACTGAGTGTGCAGGATTCAAAAGCCCTCTATTTTTTGGAAACTAGAGTACCCTGAAACACAAAGTTCAGTGTTCTCAGCACATGCCTAGGCAGCTCTAAAGGAACAGCCAGCCCTCCCCAGCCCTTCCTTCTCAGCTCACGTTCCAGGTAAGGAGCACTTTTATTTTTGAAATCCAGGTGCACAGTTAGGAGAAGGGAGAAAACAGTGACACCCATCTTTTTAATGAGCATTGCTACTGGAAGAGAAATTAGCATCACCCTGAATTTTATGTGATGTCAGTTAAATGAAGGTGTTTTATAGCACTTTACAACAAATTAGAATCAACTAAATTGAAAATAAGCCTAGCAGCTGGTATAAGTAATCAGGTAAGTGGCCAGTTTTGCTATTTTTGCTTTGAGCTGAAGACAGAACTTGAATTTTTAATGTCCCAGAGGTGTGCGATTCACAATTGGGGAGCGTGGTTTCCAGGATGATTGTTTAAGATGCAGACAGCTCGATCTTGCCCTCCAGTCTCCAACTTGCTTAGCCCCCGTTGCCTGGCAATCGGCCCTAGTACGCATGTCTGCACACCACAGAGAGGGTTGTGAATCCACGTAGGATGGAGCCCTGCTTTTGGCTGAGCGTTAGAGAGCAGACTGGAAATAGATGACCCAGAACAAGGCAGTAAATCATCTACATTAACCAAGAAGTTCTAATGAAAGGCCCGGAATTCATAGAAAGAATTTATAGCCACTCATGAAATCAGCCTAAATCAGAGGAACTATTAAAACACTTTTATGTTTTAAGAAAACGGGTACTGTGTTCAGCTGCTGCAATTTGCATATAGTCAGAGTGCTCTGACCTGGGAAACACTGGCCTCAGCGGACAGGGTTTTTACAACAGAGCTTGTACTCTGGGAAGCCAGTGTTTCTTTCGCAATGATTTTAGTGTCTTACGTATGTTCAGGAACTGTTGAAAGTCCAAAATAAGCTTGGCGATGATAACTGTTCTGGAATTGGTGGCCTGGGGCATACCTGATAAGTGTGTTACCCATGTAGGGGGAAAGGAGAAAAAGATGAGCAGGGAAGGGGCGTAGGTCACATGAAACTGAAGATCACCCAGAATGAAAGTATTAAAAGGGCAAGAAATGGAGATAAAATGATGCTTGTAATTATGGTTTATAAAGAGAAGTAGGCCATAGTGAGTATGTGGTTTTCATTTTTCTCCTCTAGAGCTGATGGATTCAATGAAATAGGCTAATCTACAGAAAAGCTGCGAATCTAGGTTATTTTCAGTCAACCTTAGAGAAAAATTAAAACTGCACAGATTTCCTTCCACCCTCTGCTTACAAACTTTCTACTGGTAACACTTTCCTCAAAATATGTATGTTTACTATTTTCTCTTGAAATGTTTTATCTTAAAAGAAAAAAAAAAAACGGATACCTTTTCCATACCTAACTACTGAAGCAGCAGATAATTCTCCTCCTGAAAAACAGAAATGTCAGACAGGACATTCTCCCCAAATTTCTTCAGTTGTAACTTCTCCTTCGCTAACCAGGAGCCCTTCCTCGACTTTTACTATTTTATGCTTTAAAGTTTGAATATGGAAAAATTAAAGTTCTAAATTTCTATCATCCTTACCTTATGCTAATTCTGTTCATAAATAATAGCCTAAGTCAGAGGAATGAGCAGGAAAAGCTGACTTCTCTGCCAGGGTACTGAACGCATCTAGATGCCATGGAGACAGATTGCTGGTGAATCCAGCTAATACCGAAAACGTGCCTTCAGTCCCGAGCTCCACACTGGCAGCCCCTGGTACTTGACCGTGTTCAGCCAGCTCAGGTATTATTCAAGGTGGCACTTCACCGGCTCGATAGATCACTGTGCTCTGAAAGCATTAAAACGTGCGCCTGAGTCGTGGAGGTCATCCACTAGATTTTGTTGCTTTGACAAAAATGGGTTCAGAGAATTGAGTGAATTTATAGGACAGGAGTTCAGAT